AGTTCTTACGCTAATGATTTTGTTTTGGGTAAAACAAGATAGTAAAATACTTTCTGAAAGTCTTGTGTTGAACTAAGGCAGGTGAATTAACATTATTTTGATTATTTATACAGCTTCGGGAAGGGTGCTTCCTCTGTGGGCGTGAGTGTGCTGGAAGCCTCCTTGGACAATCTCTGGTGTCTATCTGTCCACCTCTCTGTTCTCCAGCAGTGTAAGGGGACAAAAGTCAGGAGGAGGAAGTAGATATTTTTGCTTTGTTACCTGAGCCAGAGACAGATACTCCAGCGACAGTGGATTATTTACCATTTCTAAAAAAGAGAGGAATTTTAAAAATCGATTTTTACCCCATCTATTCCCAAATAGATGTCATTTTCATAATAAAGAACAAATTATATGTATGTGATTTTTTTTTATGTAATAGATATTTATATCCGCATTTGCTACATTTAGTTTTTAAAGGGTCGCCTTCTCTCTAAAGATTTTATGATCCCCCTACCCATGTAGTATTGATCACTCTCTCTTTTTATGTCCCTATTTTACCATTGACATGGTTCTGTTATAGAATCTGTAACATTTTATTATTCTTACTAATTTGCATACCTCTACCTGCCCCCCCCCCCACACACACACACTGTAAGTCCCTTGGGGCCTGGATCCTGGCTTCTGGGTCTATCCATGGTTCCTGGCTTCCAGGCGGTGGTTAAGTAGATGTCCCTGAATTAAATCAATGAATGCTGGCTCTTTTCGAAACAAGAAGTGGAAAAAAGTAGTTTGTTCTAAATATGTTTGTCGAAGTCCCTCAGTGCCCTTGTTAGAACCTATGTAAGCCTTTGCTGGAGGGTCTCTAAGGCTCTTTTGAACATCGGACGAGGCCGCGTGGCTGGGTGAACTGGACGCAGTCGGGTCGTCCGTGGTCAGTGTGGTTCATGTGTGAATGGAGGGTCACATGAGCTTCGGGGTCTTGCCAGAGCAAAGCCCCGTAAGAGGTTTAAGGGAGTTTTTCTTTTTTTCTTGTAGTATGAGCTGTCGCCAGGACCCTCCGGATGCCTATGCGAAACCATTTAGGGATTCGGTGCAAGGCCAGTGACAGCTAATTAATAAGCAGTAAATGGCCCAGTAAATCTTTATCTTGGCTCCTGGACCCTTTTCCTCCCGTCTCTCTCGTCCCTCAGGGTTTCGTTGCCTTTTCGGCCTCTGCGTTGACTTTTCTCCAGACCCGGGTTCTGCTTTTCCTTCAGCGTCTTGGCTACGCCGTTGTGGATCACCTTTAAATTTGGCCCCCAATTTCCCCCCCACCCGCCCCAGTTCTCTCTGCTTTAACAGCTTTTAATGTCTTATATGAATTTCATGAGCTGATAGAGTTGCTCAGCTCATTTCTCTCCCTGTGCCTGGATCCAGAGGTACAATCTTTTTACAGCTTGGTGGAGAGATGACCCCCCCCTCCCCCATTTCCACTGCTAGCGAGCATTGGGTGTCACCTCGGGCCCACCAAACAATGACAGTCAGCTTCCCGGCAATCCTGTGAAGGCGAAGGCAAAACAAATGAAAAAACCTCACCTTACAGGAAAACATCCAAGCCGTGGCTATTGCCAGCATCAGGATTTTGTCAGTCATCAGAACCCCTAGATTAAACACCATCCTTGCTATAGTTTTAAATGATTTTTTGTATGGGATTTAGCAAACTATGAAAGAATCGGTCATTTGCACTTTGCATCCCAGAGTGTGTGTTTGGTGTATTTGCACCTCCACCATGGCTGTTTGAGACTCTGAAACACTAATGGGAAAGGAAAGGGGGCTCTAACTTTGTTAAAATGTCAGGAGCCCCACGAAATCACAACTAGGTCTGCTCTTGCAACCGCCGATACCTCTCTTCCTGTATCAGCTCTGAGAACATACTGGTCTCCCGTAAGCTAAGCACGATGACAGTGTTGTATAGTCTGTCGCTGACGCTGGACGTTAGCAAAGGTAAACTCTCCATGATTGCTTCCTCGTGAGGCCTTTGGAAAGCCTCCATTGGGTCGTCTCGTCCATTTCGAGTCCTCATTTGCTTGTCTGTCCTTGGACAACTGGGGCAATATTGTAGGAATGTAGATTTTGAGAACTGGTAGTGTGTAGTATTTTGGAGATCTCAATTAAAAAATACGTTACATCGGACTTTTTACTGTGTTTCAAAGATCTTCGAGGATGAAAATGATAATATTCGAAAGCTTTAGAATATTTTATATTCTAAAGAGTTTTATAGAACTACAGATGCAATTGTTTGGTGGGATTCTTTTACCCTGGGAACCTTTCACACATTATTGATCAATCACATATACTTCCTTAATGATATTCTGCTGGGACACAGAGAGTCTGAACTATATCTTTTATATTTGCAGTTATTTTAATGATTTAACTTGAAATTACTGCCTCAAAATATTTTAGTTTAGGTAGTCATCCCCGCTTTAAGGAAAATAAAAACCGTAATAACAAGAGGATCGATAGACTAAAGATCACCTAAAACAACCAATTTGCAAAATAACCATAACTTCACCGGCTCTTTCCTCTTAGAGCTCTGGACCTATGTAATAAAAATTTTAATTTACAAAAATGAATCCAACTTAAAACATCAATTAGCCATTTTCTTCTGTTTCCCATTTGTGTCTAAAATACAAAAAAATAAGACAAGACTATATGGCGGCTTTAATTAAAATGTTAAACATATTAATATAATGGCTAAGTGGAGAGCCAGAGGAGAGAAAGAGCAATTAGGGGGATCGTTTAATAAACTATATAAATGACTAAGCAATGTACTATATACTTGAAATTAATAAAATAAAAATTTTTTAAAATGTATAAATTAAGAAAACGGTTAAATATGTGTCAGATATATAAGGATCCATCTTAGTCTCCTAAACTATCGTCCTTTTTTTCATATTTATAATACTATTAAGGATTTATGTTTAGAATAATGACTCCAAAATTAGATAAAGATAAAAAGATAAACTAACGTAGGCAAAAAAAACCCGACGGTCTCTTATACACTAGACACTAGGCGAGGTTCTAGGAAGACAAAAATGAATAAGACACAGCCTCATTCACTCCGAAGAAGACATCCCAAAACATCAGCTTGGGGAATAAGAGGGAAGGGAACATCTAGACAATCCCAAGCTTTTGCCTGATGATGGACAGGTGTTTAAATGTTTCATTACCGGGCAAAATAATATTTCTTCTTCCCTCCTCCTCCTACTACTGCCAAATCATCATGAAATGATTTAAAAAATTTATAGAAAAAGGAAGTATCAAGTCAGGTAGAGTGGGGAAACAATATTAACGAGAAGAAACTGCACATGTAATAATCATCCAGGATCTTCTCTGAAAAGTTAATAAACCCACTTTTCTATGTTCGCCGTATAGTATTCTAGGATGTTGGAACATGCCAATAAATAAAAGTATCATTATGACTAAGAGTTCTGCCTGCATGCTCTCATGTATATTTAGAGCATTGATACTAGGTAGATTATTATCAGTGACTTTGTGGTTCATGTTTTCATTTTAATTTTAGGTGAGGAGACATCATTTTTTCTCTTTTTTGATAGCCTTAAGGTTACTATTGAATTTTATGGAATAAAAGTAAACCCAATGGAGGGAAGATCTTTCCTATGGGCAGATGACTTTTGATATGGCAAGCTTTTACCATTTATTTTACTGCTTAAAATAGACATTATTTATAAGACCACTTATATTTTGATGTCACTTAATGAGGAATATGCATCATCGATTTGACTAGCTTAAGAGGTCATTTGGAAGTTACCAGTTAACAAGCTGTAATCTGCTGAGCACACAGCGACTGTGTTTGAAATGATCTATTCAGAGCTGATCAATGACAATAATTGTTTTATACCAATCACTTCTGAGAGGCGCTAATTACTTTGAAGGACATACATACTAGCTTTTTTTTTTTTTTTTTGGGAAGTCATAACCTACTCACCTTGAAATTAAGAAATGTTATCAAAAAGTCATCTTGCCTCTTTAAAGTACTTTTTTTTTTTTTTAAATTAAAAGTTCATTACTAGTATTGGGCTAGCAATAGGAAATTTAAGCAAAATTCAAGATGTCTGGGCTTGGGAGTAACACAGAGCTGACTTTCTATCCGGACTGCCATTTATTTTTTTACTGGTTATATGACCTTGATCATGTTACTTAACCTCAGTTTTTTCATCTTTAACATGGAGATCATCTCATCTAAAAAAAGCCAGATACTTCCAACATAAATGTTCATTCACAGAAAATTTCAGTTCACATCGCTCCAATTGCTATATATCGCAACGGTTTAGAGAATGAGCTCTCTGAAGTCTGAATTTGATTTTTGGCTCTAATAACTGTAAAATTTGGGGAAAATTGCATAACTTCACTTTTTAGCAGTTTTCTCATCTGTAAATAAGATGATAAGAGTTTCTCATAGGAGTGTTCTAAAAATTAAATGCATAGATACAAGCAAACCCTTAGAATTGTGCCTCTCACATGACAAGTGAATACATTTTAGCTCTTATTATTAAAGAAGTATATAAATAGCATGAAGATATAAGACATTTCTGTTTAAAGATTTTGATACCACTGAATTTTAAAAGCCCATTTGAAAAATTGATTTCAATGAGACCAAATACAGTCCTCAAGCCAGGGATTATGAATAATAAAAAATCTGTTTGGTCATGAAGTAGAAATGGTAAGAATTGGTAAAGCAAATTTTTAAGCTTTCAATAGTTAATTTCACATTTAGTATTTGCGAAACAATTTTACATGTTTACATATGATAATCTATAAGCATGTTTCTGTTTTTATAATATTTTATAATCTATGAGTACAATTTACAGTTGTAACTACCTATAATATTAGTGGAAAAGCCTAAGGCTTCATTTGATATGAATTATCATCCATCGTTACCTTCGTTTTGAAGAACTATTAATGTTTTCACTAAAAATGTTCACTCACATATTTTATCCTTTTATTTACTCCAACAGATTCAGAGACGATGGCGAGGCTATAGGATTCGGAAATACTGCTTTAATTATTTTTATCTGAAGGCGTACCTGAGAGCTGTTTCAGAGACCAACGATGCAATTAGGTGAGTAGTTGAATCACTCGTCTACTAGTGAAAATTTTAGGAGGGGCACTCAATAGATGTCGATCATCACAATACTTAGAAATAATTTCTAAAATTCATTGGTGTCATAGGTGGAAATATACTGATAAGATAGAGATATATGATTCTCTTTACCTTAAAATTTATTGTTTTGCATATTTAAACATCATGTACTCTTGACTGTAAATTAGATTATATTATGCCTTGGTCCTATGCAAAATGGTTTAGTTTCAGTAAAATTTCATTTTTAAGATGACTTTATCTATAAAATGATTTCATGAGCTATGGAAGCTTAAGTATGATTAGCCTTAGATGGATTTTGAGAAACGTATTCGGCAGCAAGAACTTGCCTCTCCAAGAAGATAAAATAAGAAAATACAATATATGGAACATAATAAAATGGACTGCTTTTCTGTCAGCTTTTATTTCCTTGAGCACATACGAAGAGAACACCTAGATTTAGGCTGCAGGGTGATGATGTCTTCTACAGAGTTATGCAAAGTAGGATCATGGCAACACTATTCAGCAAGCTTTACCAAAGCTCTGCGTATTAAGTTTGCATATTACTTCAAAAGTAGCTAGTTTTTTCCTGTTGTAATATACTCTGTTCTAATTACATGCGAGAGACTGTATGCCTTTAATGTTTTTAGATAACAAGGAAGTGTAACTAATTGTCGGCATTTATGTTGTAGTTTTACTTTCAATTTTTTCCCCCGTACATTATCTTATTTTACTCCCAAAGTTTTCAGAACTAGAGAGAGCAAACCAATTGACAATAATTGTTAAAATAAAGGTTTTGTCTGAGACCCTAAGATTATGCAAATCATATATACATATACATATACATATATACACATATACATTTTAGATAACAAGGAAGTGTAACTAATTGTCGGCATTTATGTTGTAGTTTTACTTTCAAATTTTTCCCCCATACATTATCTTATTTTACTCCCAAAGTTTTCACTCTTAAATTTCTCATGGTATGTATATAAAAGGACCTGCTGTGGAAATTAAGTATAGAGGATTTGTGAAGTTAATTTTTTTTTTTTTTTGGAAACAACAATATATATTTGGCGAGGTCACAATAGGACGTCGTCAATGGGAGAAGCTGGAGAACCCAGAAACGTGGCCCAGAGGGGACAGCCATTTAAATTTTCCTAGAAAACCAAAGTTCTAGAGATGGGCCGGCTCTCTGCAAGCGGCAGACATGAGCTGGTCTGGAGGAAAGAGCTGGGAGAACATGGCAGAAAGGGAGTGGGAGCAGCGCTGGGAAGGGGTGAGGCCAGCGAGGCACAGACATCAGACATTGGGAGGCGCTTTCACTGTCAAGGTCATGCAAGTGCCGAAGGTCATGCAAGTGCCGACCCTGCACTTGCACAGCCCTGAGAGCGAACCCTTGAACTTTACGTTTAAGAGGCCTTGCTCGCCTCACCCTAGTCCGTCCCTGGACGGGAGAATGTCCTTAGACAGACAAACGTGAAGCCAGGGGGTTTTCCCTGTTTTCTTCCTGATTGTACTGAGACTGTCTCTAGTCACTGGAGAGTCGGGTACGTCAATGCTGCTCGTTTGGTTTAGCATGGTATCCCAGATTATAGACTGATTCTTACATTTCTACCACTCGTGGAGTTTTTAGGACAGAAGAGAAGTTAAATGTAACAAATGATTTTCCATCATCTATTAAAATAATTATGGTGTTTTTCCTTTTAGGCCTATTTTCATGTTGTAGAATGTATTTTTATTAATAGATATGCTAATGTTAAACCATCACTGAAAGCTAGGAATGTATCTAATTGGGCCATTGCTAAATATTCTTTTGATTTATTACTAAGTTATATCCATATTTTAAAAAGAATACTAACATTCACTTTTGTATATGTGATTAGTTATAATTTTCTCTCATGGCACAATCTACAGGTCTCGATGTCAGGTTTTTTGCTATGTGAGATGAATTGAGTAGATTACATGGCACGGAGATTACTGCACTGAAAAGGGGAAGCCCTTCTCTGTTTTCTGTGTACCCAACACTCTACTCCCAACACTTTGAGCCACTGACGTGTGGGTTTCCACACCAAGCGATTCTCAGACACCGGCTGGGTGTCCTACAGTGTGACTCAGTCCGCTGCTGCTCACCTAGAGGCAGCGTCAGGCCCCACAGGTCAAGGCCCAGCCCTGCTGTCTCCCACGCATCCCTCACCCAAATGCCAGTCACAAGGGGTGGTTTCCAGGGTGCCTGCAACTCCTGTCCACCTTGGCCACAAATCAGAGGTTCCCAGGACCTCCACTAGAGAACCTCAAGAAGTCAGGAAAACGGTGTATTTACTAGGTTGCCGGTTCGTTATAAAAAGATACAGCTCAGGAACAGCCAGGTGGCAGAGATGTGTAGGGCAGAAGCTCGGGACTTGGGTAGAAAGGATTCTGCAGTTGATGACTAGAAAAATTCCCATCTCCCTTTACACTGAGATCATTTGCTTAACATGCTAATAAATATATTTAAAAGACACAAAATCTTTATATTTATTTACGACAAAACTCAAAGAGCTTTGAACTCTTTAAAGATTTTAGGAAAATTTAAATGAGATTAATCTATGGCAAGACTGCTTCATAGTAAATGGATGTAATAGTACCTGTAGGTTAAGATGATTGTATACACACATACACATTATAATTATGTATTTAAAACCTTTGGTCTAAAGTTAAAAGTACTCTAAGTCTATCAAGAAATTTTAAAAATATTTATAATACTAAAAGATATTATTGAACTATATATACCCTCCTGAAGCATAAAGATTGCTTTGCATTCCCACAGATAGAAAATTTTTTTCGCAGATGTGGCAACACCTTTGCAAATTGCTGAATTGTTTTTTCAAAATTTTGGAGAAGAAGGACTGATGGATTGATTTATTATTATTATGACCATTATTCCAATTTTAATGTCATACTTAAGAGTTCTCGGGTCCATTGACGTGTTTGCCAAAATGCTAAATTGGAGAAGGCACCATCTTTTAAAATACATCATCAACTATCTTATGATTCGGGTAGTGCTGATGAAATGACGCATTTGTAGGAACAGCCTCCGGCCTGTTCGAGATCGCAGGCAGCTCTGCCATATCGGCACGGCCTGGGCTGTGTGCTTGGTTTCCTTGCTTATTCTAAAGTCCATACATCCATACGTCTAACTCGCCTTTTAAAAACTAACTTTCTGTTCTTCGCCTAGTGCTGCTGTTATTTTCATGTCAACAACTTCCAGTCGCACTACGAGAAATTCCTAGCTCCTAAAATTCACAGCGCCTCCCTCTCTGCTGTATTTCCTGTTCCACTGTCACTGAGACAGTCACAATCCAGAACTAACAGCTTGCTGTTCCAAAATGTTTGTATCAATATTTGTGTTAAATTCTATCTTTGTCATCTGCTAATCTGCATTTGTTTTCATGGAGAAAGCAAAAAGACAGTGATTTTTAGGAATATGCGTCTAGCTTCTAAGAAATTCACTTCGGAAGATTCGAACACAATCTCTCTTCCTTGTAAAGCGTTATCTGGGAGCTTCGATATGACCACCATGGCAGTTCTTAAGGAAACTTGCTGTGGCAGAAAAGTCACACCGAGTCAACAAATGCGTCAGGCTAATGATAAAACGGTAGAGCGTTAATCAGCTCAGGTAGCGTTCGGGGAAGCAGAGTGCTTAGAGTTCTAGTTCTCTGGAGCTGACTTTCAGTGCTTCAAGCTGTCTAGGCAGCACGTTGCCAGTTGTGCTTAAGTAACAAAGAAATGGAAACGAGGGAAGTCAGCGTGTCCCTTAGACTGGTCACGTGCGCAGCCCCCAAAACTCAGAGTGATGTTGGCTGCTCTTACTCCGCCATCACATATAGATTCTCAGAACTTTTACCAACTCCATTTTCAAGGCAGAATTAGTATTAAGTGGGGAAATACGAATGTAAACGAGAACCAAATATATCTAGTCTACCAATATTGAATACATTCTTGATAATAATAGCTTTCCCTAGACATATGCAAAGTGTAAGTAGAAAGCATTATAACTGAGTAGTGACTTAAATGGTACAAACATAAACAAAAATACTTTAATTACAGATTCAGCAACAATTTCCAGCTGTTGGCATAGCATAGCTATTTGTTTCTGGTAAATAATAATAAGAGAAAAATCAGTCTGTTGTATAGAAATAAGAGATATCGTAATTATCAAGCTCATAAATTATATAGACAGATTTACACATTGTAAACAATGACCAGCTCAGTAAGTAGACTACAACCACAGCAAGCCATATTTATTAAGCACCTACATATGTGCACAGTGTTTTATGTGTTCTCTATCCACACAAATCTCCTTAGAGGTTTATATTATTACATTTTCAACTGGAAACTAAACTCAGGGTTTAAGTAACTTGGGTAAGGTCATATACCTGTAGTTACTGATGGATCTGGAGATTTGACTATTGAAGGCAATTTGTGTCAGATTAGAAGCTATTATTGTACAGTGTGAATTCTGTTCTCAGATCTCATCTATTCTGCCCCGTGATGAACATCGTTAACACTGAGACTTTGACTTTAATTGAAATAGTCCGTACATTTCAGAATATTGGTATAGGCTTTTGGCAAATTCCTGTGAGAAACAGGTGAACTTGGACTAGAGGTAGCCAGTCTGAAAGCAGAGATGGAAGATATTATTGCTTTGCTGCGGGATGTGTGCCCTGTGTACTTAATGAGAGTCCTGTAATTTGGAACCTTGTGGTACTGAAAAACCCACTTCTATGTCTAAACCCAAATGGTTATGAGCAGTGGCTGTGAAGTTTCAGGCCTTGGCTAGAGGTCAGCCCCGGCCTTGACAAGTAGGTGAGCCCGAGACAAAGATCGGATTAGGGGTATTATCTGCTGGTGGCCGGTACTTCAGACCAGCCATCCTCATGATGACATCTAAGCACCAACATTGTAAGCAGCATACTGGCCAGTATACAGGAGAAGGTGAG